CCTTCCTTCCTTCCTTCCTTCCTTCCTTCCTTCCTTCCTTCCTTCCTCCCTCCTCCCTCCCTTCCTTTCCCTTCTCTGCTTAACATACTCTCAAGGGGGAATTTTCACTTATGGCAAAAATAGATCAAAGACAGGGCCAACCTAACAGGTGTTGAATTTTAAAGCATGTTGCTTAATACAGCTGTGTCTGAGGGCTCATGGTGAATACAATCACAACAACAAGGACAATGGTGTGGCCTTTAGGTGCAAGACTTCATAGCCAGGTTGGCAAATGGTAATTCTGACACTCAGGAAGAACACGGAAGATCTTCTGTAAGTGCTTAAGCATTTTGCTTTTTCCTAGATGATGGGCTACGTTCAAGAGAGTGCTTTGGCTAGGCCCTCAGAAGAAGGTTGGGAAGGGAATTGTGTGGCTCTGGCACAGACCTGCCATTGCATATTGTATTTTAGCTTCAGGAATAACTAGGCTCTAAACCAGTGAGAGTCTGGCCAGGCCTGATAGGATCACCACCAAATGCCATCCCTGAAATCCATCCACCTCCAGAAACTTTCATCTTGGGCTACCAGTGGGGGAGAAGCCCAATGGCCCCTGAGTTCATGGCCATGTTTATTTTGAGTAAAAAAACCACAAGGGAACAAACCAAGGGGCAAAAATCAGAAGCCATGAAGTAATAGTATTTTAGAGAGAGTGTGCTACCAGAGCTTTCAGTGACTAAACAAACATATTCCATTAGCTGCACTGGTGCCGCTTCAAGCTCTGGACCCTTGGGCATTCGACGGGACCTGAGGGTGGCCACCATACCCTGTGGAGACTCCTCTAAAAATCCGTCTGAGAGGGGCTGAAAAGAACTTGAAGTGCCATTGGTGCCGAAGATGTGATTTTTGACATTTTATGTGAAAGCAGTGTCTGCCACCCACCCAGACACCTGGGTGGCCACCCTTGGGGGTGAGGCATGTGGCAGTGAGCACTGTGAGTGCCTCAGAGAGAGCAGGGAGGTGGTGCATAATACTACGTGCCCAGGGTCCACTCGTCCCTCTGAAGTTCGCTGGAAGGCATGATTCCCCAGACTACTGGACAGGTGAGGTTAACATCTCAAGTGACAGTCAGACAGAAACCCCAGGAGACATTCTCCGACCAAGTTAGAAATGGACCCTTGGAGAGAATTAACATTGGTGCATGGTGGTCCGAGAGAGAGATGCTCTAAACGGGCCTCTCCCAGCTGGCCTGGCACCGTGGATTCTTTCTCTCTGATCTCCCCATTCGCCCGCCATAGCTCTCCACCATTGCCCTCAGTGGCCCTCACTCTTTTTCCTTCACAGTGACCAAATCTCCCCGCAAGGAAGTCCTGTCGTTGGATGTTGAGCGTCGCCTGCCCGGGTTCTCTGCCGGCCCGGGCCCTGGCCCTTGGGCGGGGGCGGTCAGGAGGACTGCGTCAGGCCCGTGAGGCGCTTGCCCGCTAGCGACTTTCCCTGCAGAGAGAGCCGACAGAGAGCACACACAGGTGTGCAGACACACAGAGGGGACAGACAGAGAGCCAAACAGGTGAATTAATTGTTGCAGGAGTCACTCTGCCCAATAGATCAACCACCCATCCCAGCTGACCTTGCTGAAAGGGAATCTCTATGGATGGAAGCCCCAGCCAAGGACGACTGAGAAGAATCGGACTTGAGGGAGTTTAAGGAAGTGTGTGTGGCTAGTGCTCTTGCTGGGTGGGGTATGGAAGTTTTACTTACCACGGCCTACGCATTAAAGCCCCCAGATCCTTTGATGGCCTGTGGCCTGCCCTGGAATTTGATTTTAAGTATGGAAGGAAAAGGTAACCTGGGCAAGGGTGAGGTCGGGAATGGTGATTTGACACAAACAGACAATGAGTACGGATCTGGGCGATTAGAAATCAAGGAATTAATTAGCCGTGGGAATTCGGAAAACCATGAATCCTACTTGAAATGAAGGCATGACCCAGAGGATTTGGGGACTCCTGGTTCTAGTTGTGACTGTGAACATGGCTTGGCCCTTCACTGTTCTCTGCAGCCCCTGGAGGTGCTGGGGTGTGTACTCCTGCCACGGGTCAAAGCGCCCAGTGACCAAGTGTGAGGACTGAACCAGAAAGTCTGTGAACTCTTCCCTTAAATCCTATGTGGCCATTATTCTTGAAATCAAAGACTAAACAGGACCATGAGGCCTGGTCCGTGAGGTACAGAGGTCCTGGGACTGTCCAGTTGTGTCCATGCTCCGGAGGAGTGGTTGAGGAGTGTATGATCTGGGCAGGAATTCAGTACTGGACAGACAGAGGAGACACAAGGATGAATGAGGGTCGGTCACTTCTGCTTAGTTCCCTTCACACGGTTTCTACTTATCCCCTGCACCTCCTTTCATATTACTGGACATGGGTGTTAGAGGAGAGGGTGGCTGGACCTCTCCTCTCCTCCCCAGATTGATCCCCATGTCTGAGAAAACACTGAAGGCCCATCCTGCTATTGACAGTGGGTCAGCGACACCATCACCATCTGCAGAGGGCAGCAGATGATCCCCGATCAGGAGGGACTGAGGAGTCTGGCAGTGTGAGGGCACAGGCCAGCTGTTCCTCATGCTCATTTCCAAGTGGGGTGTGGGGGGCTCGTTTTGTTTACTGGGCTTGACTGTGTGTAAGTTGGATGTAATTAAAAAGAATCGATCCGGTTGGTGAAGCCTAGTAGGGTACTCAATAAACCTGCTGATTGATGAATTGATGGATAATGGGCAGATCTAATAAAAGGACAAGAGCTTGGAGCTGGCCGGGGACAGGGCTGTCTGTCATCTAGCTTAGCTCTCCATGGAGGGACACAGTTGACCTAGCTGGCATGGATGAAGGCTTTGTCCAGAAATGCAATTGTCCCCAGGAGCTGTCAGAAAGTATACCTAGTCCCATTCTTTTTTTCCCCCTTTTTCTTCCTTCACTTTTTCCCTGTCTTAAAAAAAATCACACACACACACACACACACACACACACACACACACACAAAATCTTCCACATCAACAACCTTATCTCAGTCTTCAGATACACTAAACTTAGCCTGCAGCAAGCTATGTTTATACTAGGCTAAAGATTTTTCAGTCAGCTTTAAAAAAAAAAATCCTTGAGGATTTTGTGTCAGTGTGTGTGTGTGTGTGTGTGTGTGTGTGTGTGTGTGTATGTGTTTGTGTCTGTCTGTCTGTCCATGCCCATGTAGGTGTATGTGGAGGTCAGAGGAGAACCTCAGGTGTTATTTCTAAGGGAACACTTGTCCCCCTTGGTTTTGGGGGGAAAGTTTCTCATCGGCCGAGTATCCTAGGCTAGCCAGGGAACACCAGGGGCCCACCTCTGTCCATCCCTGGTGCTGGGATTACAGCCACACTCAGCTTTTTAAATAGGTATTGAGCATGAAACTCGGCATCTCATGCTTGTGTGGCAAGTGTGCTTTGTGTCTAGCCATCTCCCCAGCCCATCTTATGTCAGTCTGAGAATCACTAAGACGACAGCCAGTCATTTTATGTCAGGGACAATACCACGGTGTCCGTAAAAGATAGAAACTAGCTTCCAAGACCTCCATCCCGGCCTAACTCTCACTCTCCAGGGCGTCCTTTCTCACGGGGAACATTTGTCATCTGGGAATGCACCTTCTCAGTGTAGGCATAAAGGCAAGAATTGTAGGACTGTGTATAGACTTGCACCTAAGGGCCTTCTGGGATGACGGCATGACTTCCTGTCACCTGCCCCTGCTCCCATGCAAGGTGCGGCCCTTGCTGCAGTGGCCACACACTTCGTCTGGCTTCACTCCCTCTTCCATCCTTCCTCTACCAGAGCCACAAATTAAACATTGTATACTTGGATATCTGTGTCTGAGTTGCTGTACATGGCTCCGAGTTAGCTGGTACACGTGAAAAAAAAAATCACTGAAGCTGAATAAAAACGTATGTTAAAAGCTCAAAGACAAAGAAGGTAAGGTTTACCAGTTGCCCAAAAACCTCATTATAGTTCTATCTTCATTAGTGAGGTCATTTTGCTTGCACAGGGGCTGTGGGTTGAGGTAGGCTGGAGGCTTTTTTCTCCTGAAAGATTGTTCTGAGTGATTTTAGCCCTGAGGCACCTCCACCCTTCACCTTTCCCAGCTCCACAGAAAGAGCCTGGCTGGATCCGGAGGCGATAATTAATCTCTTCCTGCCAAGAACTCAGCCTCATAGCTCTGGCTCCAAGGACCTGTGGCCAGTGTGCAAATGGTGCTCCCCTCCCCTTCTCCCCACTTCTCTCATTTCTGGGGGCTTCAGAGATGAAGCTAATCAGCCCAGGATCTGCCTCTGGGATGAGTTCCAGCCTTTGAGCATCCAGGTGGCGCTTTGTGGCCTTGTGGTCCCTCTCTTATTGCCGAGCTCACATATGTACCACATGCCAGTTCTGATACTAAAAGATGGAGGTCAGGAAGGTTTGGGGGGTAGCTTGGAAAGAACCCTGCTCAGCTGAGATGGTCTAGTTGCCATCCAAACCTTGCCACACCATCGCCCCAGTGAGCGAGGGTGGGCTATTGGGCTGCAAGGAAGTTAATTGCATAGGAAGCAGGCAAGGCTGGATGCCTGGCTAAGGGAGCTTTGGGAGGAAAAAATTGTGAGATTTCTCCCTGGCTCAGCAGCAGCCTGCCTTCTGAAGAGCAGAGACTCCTGTGGTGTTCGGGGATCAAAGCGAAATCCTAGAGGCGAGGCTGTCTGTTCTGAGGTAAGCTGCTCCAGAGGCTGTGCCCAGTGGGCTTGCAGGCTGCGGCAGGCCCCTGCTCTACCCAGAGACAGGAGGGCCTTCTTGTGTACCTTCTATCGCTCTCTTCACCCTGTACTTTTCTCCCATCCCTACTTCCAGCGTGGATGATTCTGAAGGAAGGGGAGTGGCTATTTTGCCCATGCCTGGCACCTGCACTTACAGAGGCAGCAGGGTTTTGGGGGTATAAATGTGTGATGTTCCTCAGTGTCAGTCAGTTGGGATTGGATGGTGGTGCCAGAGAACAGCAGCCAGCTCAGCCTGAGGCCTTGGCGTAGCCGAGCAAAGCAGCAGAGAATGTTTGAAAATGCTATTAGCAGGCAGCCTTTGTCCAAATGAGAAAAAATGTGCAATGATTAAGAACCAAACTGTGGAAGGTACATTCCAGAGACAGCAAAGCTTTGCACACAGACAAAGCACCTTTCACCTTCCACACACTCGGCAAAGTGTAACCCAGGAGAACTTTGGATGCTTAAATTTCCTGGACCAGGGAGTTGATGCTTGGTTCACAAACACCCTCATGTCCAGCCCCCTGCCTCCAGTGATTTCAGCTCTGTGGCCCTCATGGCTAGAAGCCCTGCAGGTGTTACGGGATCCTTTGTTTCTGGAGGAAAATGCACAAAAGGCGTAGCTCCTTTTGTGCAGAGCTAGAGGAAGAACCAACATGCTGCTGGACATGCCGAGGCTCTGGGCATCACACTTCTAGACGGTACCCAGCAAAACATGCATGACCCCGTGACCAAGAACTTTTGCCACTTACTTACCTGGGAGACGGAGGCTAAGAAACGCATTGGTTGAGAGAAGGGCTGTGGCTCAGAGGGAAACCCTGGGGCTTGGAGGGCATACTGGGGGAAAGCAGGGAAAATCACTAGGGTCTCAGAGCAGGGGGAGGGGGTAGCCTTTTAATATAAGGAATATGGACGTTTGAGCTGGTAGGCATCCCTGGCCGATTGTCTCAGATGCTGTAAGACTAGAGTTGAAGTCTGCAGTATATATCAAGTCAAAATCTAGGCTATGGTGGGGTTTGTCTGCCCCTGGGAGAAAGGAGTGGCACTGGTAGGAAAAGGGCACGAGGATCTTTGTAGAGTGATGGGTTCTAGGTTACATGGGAATATGCATTTGTCAAATTCATTGAACCCTGTATTTCAGATCTGTGCACTTTATCATATGCAATCATAATTCAAGGGAGAAACCACAAGAAATAAGATTAGGGAGAGGGGAAAAAAAATCCCAGCTGTCTCATCACTGCCTTGGAGTTCCTACTCCTTTTTCTTTGTTAGTTGCTGGGTCCATCTTCCCCTTTCTAGAAACAGAATGCTCCCCTCTCCCACCTGGGAGAAACTCAGATTCCTCTGGGCTGGACTGATGTGAGGTGCTCTTTCTAGCTTCCATTGACTCCAGCTGAATCCCTCAGTGTGACACACAGGCATTTTTCACCCTTGCTAATGAGAAGCGGTGGTCTGCCGAATCGGGCACACCAACTGAGATGGGCTGTCCTTTCTCAGAGTGTGAAGGTCATCTATGGGTTGACGATGCTCAAGTTCACTTGATGTGTGGATGTAGAATTACAGGCTCAGGCTCAGGGCTGGGTGGGCCAAGAAACCCATGAGCCAGCAGCAAAGACAGAGGCCTGGTGAGGGTTTGGCAGCTGGGGCGGGACGGGGGGGGGGGGAAACAGAGGGTGTGTCTCACTTCATCTGGTCTGTCTTTCCCCGGGCATTAGAACACCTGGTGCTTCGCCCCCACAGAGGAATGGTTTGGATAGAAAGCATGAGGAATCCCATGATTCCTCATGGGAGATTTCTAATCTCCTTTCCCAATGATATTTGAGAGTGGAGGGGGAGAAGGTCATTTCTTGAGATGGTTCAAGCGTCTGAGAACTTCTGGCAGGGGGTGGCAGAAGATCCATCCCATACTTAGAATAATTTCAAAGCACCTGCAAGTACTTGTCTTTTCTCAGCCTGTTCCTGACTTTTAAGGCCCAATGGAAGCACGGGTAATGGGACATGCGAAGGGCAGCCTGGGCTGCTTCCACAGTGGGGCTGGCCAGAGCGGCGCTGGCAGGAAGAGGGCCATTTCTAGACTGTTCCTCCATGCCGCAGGGAGTTAGGCGGGCAGGAGCCCTGTGGCGAGACCCATTCCTGGGGGCTGCTTCCTCCAAGGCTCTCGCTGAGCTTTTTGATCTTGCTCGGGAGTTGAAGGGCATTTTAATTTTTTAAAAAAATATTCTTTCTATTTGAGTACTCCACAAGGAGGCCTATCACAAAGATAAAACAACACTCAAAACCAAAACCAAAACAACCCCCTAAGAACCGACAGGGGTAGGAGAGACTCAGACTAGCAACAGAAACTTCTAGCTGGAAAAATTAGTATATATTTAGGTGGATGTGATCCTGAATCTGTTTTGTGGGGTAAACACGTTCAAAATACAAACCATGGAAACAGCCCTACGTGCCGTGTGTGGTGGTGTGAGGGGTAGGTGTTGCTGGGTGCCTGTTTAGAGTTGGGACTATGAAATCTGTTCAGCAGTCTTATTGTCTGAAAACTGGACCGTTTTCAAGTTCAGACCCCTCATGCTTACACATACTGGTAATTTTTTTTTTTATTTGAGTTTAGGAAAGGTGTGCCGCCAGCCACCCTCGCTGGAGCTGGGTGAATACAAATGGGCCAACCTATCTCTTGATCTCCCAGGGCCTTTCTCTTGGAATTTCTAATTCTTCGCCCACTAGGCAGCATCCATAGCTCATGTAGCTCTCTTTGCAAGCATGCTTTCCCAGTCGCCCAGGGCTTGGTGGAGACAGCGTGGAGCTGGTGCAATCACAAGGGACCTGCATTATTAGACAGTCAATGACAGCTGCCTCCGATGGTAAAAGTTCAGACATCTAGGCATTTGACAGACACTTGGACAAATGCCCACAACACTGGTTAGGTATTTCTTTATTCTCTATTATGTAATGTATGAGGAAACAGACTCCAGCAGAGCCGGAGAAGTTTGCCTGAGAGCAGACAGCCACACAGTGACAGAGCCAAGGTGATGGGCCCCGAGAACTACTTCATCTACTTGGCGCATGGCCGTGGCTCTCAGGGGAGGAGGTGGGTGGGAACACTCGGATATTAAACCCTCCTCCACACTTAAATTGCACCAGCTTCCTGGGCAGTACGGGATGTTCTTCCTTGAATATACTTGAGCCCATCTCAAACACTTTCTGTTCTGCTAGGGGCTCCTCCTTTCTAGACTTGGGAGTTCCGTGACGGGGGAGGTATCTCTTGTTGACTGGCAAGCCTGGCGAAAGGTGCCTTTGGCTGCTGAACTGGGCTGGGGTGCAGGTGGGCATGGCTTGGTGCCTATCGATTTACAGCGGTGGTGGCTGGACACACCAGTTGAAACCATCATTGAGTTTCCCATTCTGTGTGACTAGTGCCTTCGCGCTCTCCTGTAGTGACCCCAAGAAGGACAGAAGCAGATGTGACAATGGGGTGGGGGTGGGGGTCAGGCAGAGTGAAGTCACTCCCTTTAGAAATGACCCCCATTTCAAGTCATTATAGACCGAGTGGCCAATTTGGGGTGTCCCTGATAGGCTCGGAAACCCTCCCTGGATGGTGTCCATAAACTCTGGTTCCTGCCTCTCATCAAAATCATCACTTAGAGTATCTTTGCGGAGCTAACCTTTGCCTGTCAGTTTGGGTGAGCCATGGGAGGCCTTCTTCCTTGTCCCTTCAGCTGCGCAGCAGAGACTAAGCTGGACTCAGGCGGGGATGCCAGGAGAGGAGAGCTCAGCAGCTGAGCCCTGTACTGGTGGCAGGATGCCCAGACCTGGACTCCCTCGTCTCCTTTCTAAGCTGTGCATTTCAATCTCCCCTGCTGCTCCACCTCTTTTGCAGTGGAAACTGCTCCCCTCACTCCAGACTGCAGGGCCTTTAGTCTCTCCCGCCTCTTACTCTAGTGGAACAACCCGTCCTTTCCACCGTTAGCTTGCAAGAGCTTCTTGGTGGTCTCAGGAGGGGCAGGGAGGGGGCATCTTGCTTGCGAAGCCCCTCAGCATCTCATACCTGCCTGGGGCCTGCACAATGTCTGCCTCATGCTTCTCTTCTCCTCCTCCCTAAATGTACACAGGGATTGAAGCTCTGGTTTACTCCAAATTTGGCAAAGGCCAAAGACTCAAGGAAACAGGCACATGACCGTGTTGCTATTGGCAACAACTGGACGCTCCTCTTTTTCTAATAGGGAAGTTCAAGTAACCCTTGACTGTGACTATGGGGTGTGTACAGCTAAAACTAACAAATTGATGTCATGGACAAGGCAGCAGAAGTCACTTGCTTGGCAGTATGAGATTCTCCTGGGGATCCGTGAAGACCTCAATGCCATCTGCCTAAAGGCACTTTTCTCCTGCAAACATACATACAGGCACGCTGGCTGGTGTCCCTAACCTAAGACAGCTGCTGTAACAGAGCCTAGTGGGCAGGAAGTCAGCTTCCTGATTTACCCCTTGCCCTCTGCCCACCCAAAGCAGAATACTTCATGAACACCCATGTCTACTCCGAGGCATATGAAAAAAGGCCATGTGTTCCCCCCTCACCTCTCTACCACCTTGACTGAGGCTCAGTATTTTATGGCACGGGCATCTGGGCATCCTAAAGCTGGAAAGGAACAGGTTAGCATTCTCAAGAGCCACCTGGATAGGGCCTTGGGCCATTGGGATTCCTGGTTTCAGAGAACCTTCCTACTTGGCTTTCCCTGCAGACTCTTTTCTTATGTAGGAATATGAGGGCTTGGGCTTTCCTGAGGATTCAGTCCTGGGCTTGCAAAGGAAGGGTTCTGAAAGCTTAATCTGGGAGAGGAAACCTAAGGACACCGCAATCGAGACTGAAAACATCTACAAAGCCGTTAGGAAGGAGGTACCCCGAGACACAAACTATAGGATCCACAGCTAGGAATGGTATTTAGGCATTGCCTCCAGGACAAAGGATTCACATTGCCAGCATCTCTGGCATGCCCAGTTCCTTGTTCCTTAGGAAGAAAAAGAACCACTGATGCCCAAAACAGGAATACCAAGAAACGGGTGCCCTGGCTGTGTTTATGGGACCAATACATGAGAACAGGAACAGTGGGCAGACAGACAGACAGACAGGCCATTCCTGCTGGCCTCGGAAGCTGTCTATGCAGAAGGATCCCCAAGGGTAGAGAGAATACAGTCACTGGGATCACTCACCCACTGCTGGAAGGAAGCCACCTCGGGGGTGAAACGCGGCGGCCATTCTGACTCTGCGCCAGCAGCACTAGGCAATTGTGTTTGGGGGAAGGGAAGTGAAGAAGAACTTATCCAGCTGAAACCGTGAAGACCGTGAAGGGGATTTAGAGGAGGAGCCCCTGCCCAGACACACAGACAGCCATGACAGTCATGCAGCTCGTGTACACATGCATGCAGGCCTGCGGCGTATGGTGACATGTGAACCATACACCGAACACCTAGGTGTGTGTCAGAAAGGCAGCCCATGCACCGGCGTACACACCTGTGCACACGCACATACAGCGTGGACACATATGTGCATGTTCGCAGGGAGGGCATTCACATAAGGATCTCATGCAAGATACATAAGCAGCTATGAGGTTAGTGGCAGAGATTTTTATATCAGCTCCCAGCCATGCCAACCTTTGACTAAGGTGCAAACTTGAAGCATTTGCATACACACACACACACACACACACACACACACACACACACACACACACATATATATACACACATATATATGTATATGCATATATATGACAAAAAAATACCCCACCAAATCCTCCTCAGGAAAATCCATTTGTGTTACCCCTGTTTCTACCAGTGGTACAAGTCGTCAGAGCCCACACCCCAGGGACCTGGTTTACAGATATGCTTTAGAACATTTCCTGCCACGTGCTTCTGAGCCTTCTAACAGCCTGGCTGTGTAATAAGGGCTTAAAAAATAGAAACCTCTGTTTATCTGGCAGATGGAGCAACCGGCCTTGGTGAGGTTGTGTTGTTGAGGGTGGCTCCAGGCAGGCAAACAGCTGAGGCGTGGTTTGCCCTAGAAGTGTGGGCTCTGTTGCACGAGGGTTATGCTTGGAGGACTGGGTTTTACATGCTTCTTTCGGACAAAGCCAGTCCCTGTCTGTGTCTGGAGGAAGGAGGCACCTTAAAGTCCTGGGTCTCTGTGGGAGTCCAGGGGCCACATCTTGGTAATACAGACAACATTTTTGCCTGTGGCCCTTGCCATCTCGTGGGTTGACAAGACTCACAGCTCCAAGGCTTCCTGGGAAGTCCTTAAGAGCCACAAGAAATAGGCATGTGCCAGAGGCTGGCCTCCTGGGCACCATAGACCCTCTCCATTCCCATGGAGTTCGGAAGAACTGAGTTAAGTTTAAAGCAGGCCAGTAACAATGGCTACTATACACTGAGCTTATACCCACTGAACTAGGAAATCAATAGAGACACCTACCCCACAGAATACTCTTACAAATGACATAAGATGGTAAATGGAGAACTGAGGGTGTGTTTCATGACAAACGATACTAAATAGTTGTCAAATATGTAGGCTACAGTGTGTTCTATGTAAAATTTACACTTCCTCATTCACTATTCTCTCTGTTTTATGTTGGAAAAACCTGAGGCTTAGAGGATCTTCTCAGACTCATCCAACTCATGGGTAGAGTTGGAGGAGAGCCAAAGTCCATCACAAGCCATGCCTGGCAAGGTGGGGTTAACACCATGAGTTCTCAAGAAATGACAGCTGTCTCTATCATATTCTCATTTAAAGCTGATCTCTGCTCTGTGGGGCAGGATTTGTTTTACCCTTCATGCCCATGAATGACTTTTCCAGGCTCTTACACCAAGATCAGGGAGAGCAGGTGAGTGGGGATTCCATTTCGGCTGTCTGCCTTTGACTCACTTCCTTCTCTATTCCTGTGAGTTCTAAAGGGACATGGCTCTCAAGGGTGAGGGTGGGGGACAGGACAAGCAGGTCATCTGTGATAGGATGACAATGCAGGTAGGGACACGCTGTAGCTGAGCTTTTGACATTCGGTTCTAGATAGTTGGTGAAGCTTAGTCACAGCCCAGCTCCATTCTCTAGTTAGGGACACTACAGGTGGGAACTGGCTAGGAATAGGAGCAGGCTGGAAGGTTCAGAGAAGCCAGTAAGAGAGACCAGCCAAGGGCCACTCAAAGACACACTCCTGCTGGCAAGAGGTACTTCACCAGTACTCCTTGTAGTCTTTGGAGATCATGGTCATAAAGGCAACCTGACACTAAACCTGGAGAAAGCTACCAAAGGGCAGGTCAGCAGCAGCTCTGGTGGCATCCACCCAACTCATACTTCTTGGTGGTCTTTCTCATGATGTCCTACAGACCTAGGAATTAGATCAGGAAAGCTATGATTGAGGACTAGCAAATGATGGGGTCTGAAGCTCTATATCATTACCACGAAAACCTCTACCGACTTTATGACCTCCGGTCATGATCACCCACATTGGCAATGGTTGCCTCTTACAGATTCTGTATGGATGCTCTAGCATCTTAGAGCACCATCCAGAACAAATTTCTGCCTGCTGCTTTTTCTGTAGACTGCAGGGTTGTGTTTTTGCTTCTTGCTGGACAGTCTGTGTGTCCCACAAGACATGGAGGTTCTATGACATCCTACTTTTTTGTGTGGAAGAGATGAAGGTCAGAGGCATGGGGATAAATCCAGGTGCCCCTGGGTTCCTGAATCTCCTTGCCTCATGCCTCCTAGGCCAAGGCCCCCAGCTGTTCCTGATGGGGGAGTTTAAAGGAATGTCTGAGAGATCACAACCGCCAACTCTGTCTGAGCTTTCTTCTGTGTTAAAAAAAAAAAAAGTCTTGTTAAAACTTCGCTGACTTTACTAGGATTGCCATGTTTAATGAGGGGCCTCGACTGAATTTGAAAGCAAAAGATGAAGAGAGGAAAAAAGCCATGAGCTGTAATCACCATAATTACACAATTCCAGGATGAGTTGAAAGCAGCCCCTGGTGGAGCCTGAGAGGTGGGAGTGTCATCTGCAACCTGGTTGGCTCTTAGGACAGCTGGAAAGAATGTGACATGCAAGCCATTCTCTTGGCTTCCTCAGAGACCGGTCTAAGTCCCCCAGACGGGACCCAGAAGGAGGGGTGTTCAGGGAGGGCAGCCCTTTTCTCGTCTGAAGCCCCTGGGGACATGTCAGGCGCCTGGTGTCGGCTACTTTACCTGGAATCTGCAGCAGCATTGGGTAAAAGACAAACATCTTTTCTGCTTTCAGCAAAATACCCATCCCGATGGGAACTGTGGCAAGCCATGCTTTTTTTCCAAACCAAGGCCAGGACGCTCTATGCTCCACACTGTGCCCAGCCCCCTGTGCCAATGAGTGCCTGTGTCCTTCACTGGTTGACCTCCTTTCAGGCATGCAGGGAAGAGAGCCCTGTTGCCCAGGGCTCAGCTGCAGCAACAGCAGCAAACGGTCGAGGTCAGGGAAGGGGAGAGGCACAGATGATGTGTGGAGGTCATAAATTCCACTTCTTGAGTTTCCCCCGCTTCCTGTGTGTGTTGTTTACTTGTTTTTCCAAGGCAGACTTCTGGATCCCTCTCCTCCAGTCTCAGCAAACTCCCTCCTTATTTCCCACAACTTGTAGACCACCAAATTAAACATGGCAGGAGCCCTTAAGAAATACTCAGTGCAGCCCAGAATTCCAGTTAGGAGACGCTGAAGAATTCAGCGCAGAAGGCTCAGCTGCATTGCTCTTGGCCATGGAGTTGCTAAGAGCTGTCAGTTACTGCTGTCGGAGTGTCCTCCAGTGGAATGGCCCTCCCCATGTCTTCTATCCACCTGTTCCACTTTACCCTTTGGGACACTGATTCCGGAAAGCAAAGATGATCATTGAATTTGCTTGAGGCTAAACATTCCTATGTACTCTTGTGTCCCTTGACATGACCTTCACAGTCTTTCTCTCCTGATTTTTCTTTTTCTGGCTTATCAAAACCCTGGATAAGATACAGAGGGTTAGTATCAAGATGCATAGAGCAGCACAAAGCAGGGAGCAGTCCTCAAGGTGGGAAGTACTCCACAAGGCAGGGAGCATGGCTCTGACCTTTGAACTTTTACAGTTCTGTTATCACAACCTCAACTTAGAAATGACAGTCGCAGAGGACAGGATAGGTGTGCAGGAGTAGCCATTTTTTTTTTCAATCTTTGGGTTGAAATCTCACCAATAATAGATTTTTTTTTCTCTTACATTTTTTTTTTTCCCTCCAGAGTAAGGGTTGTCATTATTAGGGTCACCCAGGAAAAGAAGAAGGGAGTGTTCCTGCCAAATGTTAAGTCAGTGAGGCCTGCTCCTGTTTTGGACTGTGCTGTTGTTGCTAGGGCCACAAGGATTTGGCCATGATAAGGGAGTATGGATGCCCCCTTGCTGTTTGGGCCCTGTCTCATTTTTCCACCCAATAGGGAGCTGCCTTACAACCCCTCAATTGCCCTTCTCTCTTTAGCTTTAGGAAAGGCACCTCAGCACTGACAGTCCCTCTGTGTTGAGCTTGCTCCTCTCTCCTTCAGTGTCCCAGGCAGCCATTTGCTTCTAATCAGCATCCTAAAGTCTGTTCCTACAGTGTACAGACACATAGCTATGCTTTCCTTCTAGGACGCTGTGCTTTCCTAACTCCATTGCAACCTGGGAAACTCACTAGCTGCTATGACAAAAGGAAGTACCCGCCATCTTGTTTTCAAAGCAGCTCATTTTGTGGGGGGGGGGGGAGCCCTGAGGGTCTCACTGCTGAGCCTGCTGGTCCTCTGATATCAAGCTCTCCACTTCTCTTTCCACTCTCCAGTTTGGACATCAGAGAGAGAGAGAGAGAGAGGGAGAGTCAAGTTTCCTTGACCTTAATGTAATCAGCCCTGTCCTCATCCCAGGACCTGTAAGCCTGGTAATGCCTGAAAGCTGCTGCTCTCCACTCTCTCCTCCTGGCAGGACGGGGCAGATTTATTCCCTAAAGAGACATGCACAGTTTCTTGAGAGGCCCGCCTCTCCTACTGCGCATGCTCCTGGCTCACCTTTACCCTCTGCCTGCTCATTGTACAAAAGGGAGCCCACACAGTTCCCATGTGGCTGCACTGTGACAGGAAACAGACTGAAATCCCACAATCTCCCCCCACCCCGCCCCATTCACTGCTAAAGCGATTTCTCCTTTGCTTGGGAATGGAGTGGCCAGCAGGCAACAAGATGGCAAAGAGCTCAGGTGACCTCCCAAAATAGATCCCTACCAGG